ACCCTGCACAGCCCTCCATCCTGTGTGGATCCCAGGGGCACTGGGTGTGCTGTGGGCTGGTGACACTGCTGGGGACACCCACCTGCCAGCCCACCGTGGGCACGCTCAGCCAGCACAGCCAGCGGGGGCTGAAGCTCCGGCCGGAGCCTGGAGACCCTGAGCCCGGGAGCAGTTCACTGTGCTCCTAGGGAGGTGCTGAGCCCTTGGGAGCCCAGGAGCAGCTCACTGTGCTGCCAAGGGATGTGCTGAGCCCTTGGGAGCCCAGGAGCAGCTCGCTGTGCTCCCAGGGAGGTGCTGAGCCCTTGGGAGCCCAGGAGCAGCTCGCTGTGCTCCCAGGGAGGTGCTGAGCCCTTGGGAGCCCAGGAGCAGCTCGCCGTGCTCCAAAGGAGGTGCTGAGCCCTTGGGGGATGCAGTCTCCTCCAGCAGCTGGAGTTCCAGCTCTGAAACCCAAGTGCATTGCTGGGCACTGGTGCAGGTGCAGTCAGAAATAGCCCAATGTACAGCCCGGTGGCATTTCCAAAGAAAACGCCTGGGAGTGGAGTGGGTGAGAGGGGCCACGGCTGGCAGGACAGGGCAGCACTGAGCTGGGTGTCCCCAAGGGCAGCCCCTGGGCACAGCGGGCAAGTGCAGATCAGCAGGATGGCACCCACGTGCAGCTCCAGCCGTCGGCGCTGGGCACACAAAAATGCAGCAGTCTGTTCTGGACTTCTGCTCCCAGCTGGTATTAGCATGCAGAGATGCTCACTTCCAAGCAGGAAGACTGTGAAACAGTAATTAAGTTGGATGCCTGGTTTTAGTGGACTGGAGCATCTAGAAAGCAGGTCAAGAAAAATCTCCAGCATTCATCTTCTGTGCTGAAATATTCCATGTGACCAGGCAGAAGTGTTAGAAAATACAGCTATCACACCAATCATTCCCATCACTTTATAGCCAGGTAAGCAGAAGAGAGGAGGCTCTACTCTTCTGGTAGAGCAGAAGAGTGGAGGTAAGAGGAAAAGAGGAGTGATTTATGCTGCTTCACAAGTTGCTGGCAGCAGCACTGGCTGGATGGACACAAAGAGCCCCGAAGACCTTTGAAGGTGAAGTCACAACGTGGTATTCCAGGTTTTATATTAGTGGTTTCTATAGACAGTGAGCATGCAGCCAGCTCTGAGTTTGCTGCACAGAGCAGCAGTGTGATAGATGGCTTGATGTACTGACACTGAGGGTCTATTAAGCTCATAGCACTTAAAATAAAAGCCTTCAGCATCTGCAAGTTTAATGGTTCCACAGTCACAGCCTGGAGACAGGGGAGAGAGAGGAAGAATAAAGGATTTTCCAGACTGAAAAATGAAAGGAATATATATCTTGTAAACTTGTTTCATGCAGAGATGTGGATGAAAACCTACCAGCAGTTTTTACTAGAGGTTTACTGCATGTCTGTGTGCAGGGAGAGGGCATCTGCCATGAGGAGCTGCTCAGGAGGATCACGGAGCAGCAGATCAGTCCCCTGCAGGGACAGCCTCCCCACACAGCAGGGCTGGAGCAACACGTGTTCCTTGTAAAGCCCTGATCCCACCACACCATGCACTGCTGGTGCAGGGAAGGGAGGGAGGCCTTTGGAAACACAGGTCTCCCTCCTCCTGTGCCCCAGCCCGAGGCACAGCTGAGGCAGCAGCCCCAGCCACGGCTCATTCCCAATAAAACCTGTGTGGCACCAGCCCAAGGGTCCTGGCTCCCCCTCCGCGGCCTCAGCTGGGCTTTCCTTAAGGGAAAGGCAAAGATCTGTCACTCCAAGCCAGGGGCAACTGCTGTCCTTGTGCTTTGAGCTGGCTCCTTAGTGTCACATGCCAGGGAAGCTACAGAGCAGCCCCAGAAGATGCTGAGTGGACATGTCTCTCCTGGCACTTCTCTAAACCAAGTCTTACAAGTTTGAGTTCTACAGGCTGCTATTCTGCCTGTTGTTTTTCCAGAAACTTGTTTTACTTAATTAAAACCCTGTCATTACCTGACTAGTACTTTCCGTGCAAAGAAACCCTAAGGACAAAGCAGTAACAAAAGAAGTGATCCTACCAGCTTTTCCAACTCAAACCAAGTTAAAAGAAAAAAAAAAAAAATCCATTTTTTCCAGTTTTCTGCATCCACAAATGACCTGCAGTGTTTGTACATTTTTCCAGTAACTACCCTCTGCAGAACACATCACATGCCAGAAGACAGAAAACTTTACAATAGAAAGGGTTACCAGTGACAAACTTCTGCTGTGGCCAGGATTAGCATGAGTGGTGTCAGTGCTGAAGCCACTTCATGGACTCCTGATGACAAAAACCTTTGTGCCACTGCTGGAGAAGCCCCAGCATGATGGATTTTACAGTGCTCCCATGAAATTACCAGGTTATCCAGGGCAGCTGTGGCTGCCCCTGGACCCCTGGCAGTGTCCGAGGCCAGGCTGGATGGGGCTTGGAGCCACCTGGGATATGGAAGGTATCCCTGCCCACGGCAGGGGATGGAACAGAATGGACTTCAGGGTCCCTTCCAGCCCAAACCCTTTCATGCTATCCTTCGGGAAAGGACAGTGAATGAGCACTGAAGGAAACTTTTCAGCTCTACCTTGTGGAAAATCAAGGAAAGCAACAATATTCAATGCTCCTGCAAGGAGAGAATTAGGTACAGACAATTCTCTGAAATAATGAGCAGTTTTTTAAGTGATGTACCAAAACTCCAGACATGCTGATCTAGTTGGGAAACTAGGTAAATGTGATGTGGAACACAGGCAGTTGTGTAGTTCTGCTTTTCTAGTTTTGCAGTTCCTTATCCAACAGTCATGCTGTCTTCAGCCTGGCAGACTGTGCTGGCAGCTCAGCTCAGACATGTAAAGCAGGAAATCCCCTGTGGAAAGGCAGCTGAAGGAGGCCAACAAAACAGTGCTATCTGCTAAATGTATATAACCATATACACATGCAGAGGTTTGGCTGAAGAGCACAGAGGGAAGGAAAGTTTTGGTCTAATCCAGGCCATCCCATCCCATCCATCATTTGCTTATCCACATGTTCTCCAGATGTTCTTCTTTCCCCCATTTACAGACCTGCTGTGTACCTGTAGCTCAGACTCCACTGTGTCTCTGGAGCAAGGGCTCCTCTCCTCCTCGAGGCCCTGCCCTGCAGCCCGTGCCCCCATCCTGGCCAGCCCCTGCTGGGGCCAGCAGCCAGCGTTCTCTGCGGGCCGACGTGGGGGGCAGGCATCCTCCTGTTCCACTTCTGCACTGGGCCCAGGACTCCTCTTGGCCACAGCTCTCCCAGTCCCCGTGGGCTGACAGGCACAGCCAAGGTCTGATCTGAGCTCCAGGTGCCTCCTCGAGCTGTCCCTTCTCCTGCAGCTGGGCCGTGCCAGCCCGCCCCGGAGCCACAAGGGCAAGGACAGATGTCAGGAATGACAGTGACACTCATCACCTTTGTCCATAACTGCTCACTCACACAGCGACGACAGCTCAGAGGATGAAGTTTGCTGCTCCTTTAACCAAAGCACTGTCCAGACAGGAGCCATGGATTGGCCAGGACTCTTCCACTGGCAAGGACAGTACATTCTGGGCAGCAGGTTTATTTATACTCCTGATCTAGCTAATAGGAATTTGGGTCCAATCCAAACACTCTTGATATAATAAAGTCCTTAGGCAGAGTTAAGCAGCAGTTCTATGGGCAAGATCAAGAAGGAAGCTGAAATGTTGCTGCTGCAGTTGTCCAGACACCCTGAGTACACAGCATGAGTATGCCATGCTCTGGTTATTTACTCCAGCCAGGCTTGCTGAGATGGAGCCATAACCCAGGCAAAGCAGGTCCTTCATCACACTCCAGCAAGGGGTGAAGTAGTCCCATGACAGAGGGTGTGAAAAAAGTCCGATTTTCGCATCAGGATTACATGAGCACTGACCATCCCAGTCGCATTGCATTATGACAGTTCAGATAATGAAGAGACTCCAGAGAAGCAGCGCTGGCTTGCTCACACAGAGTCCTTCAAGCATGAAACAGAGCAGAGCATTCAGGGGACAACGTAACAAACCACACTACACAAAGCATGGTCTTTGACACAAGGCTCTTCCCAGTGACACCTCTGCTTTTCAACAAAAAATTAAATCCCCCGCTTGTCTAACACCATCACAGCTGAGCTCTTGTCTGGACAGTGATGACTGAAAGGTTGTGAAATGATTCCAGGTTTCATCCAAGTCACTGGATTTTCCCATAAACTTGCATTCCCATTCATGCCACATCCTGTATTTTTAGGTACCACATTTTCATTGCAGGCAGACTGATGAGAAAGGGAAACCCATCCATTATGAAGAATCAGCTCTCACAATTTCATTCCCACCAAATATCCTCACTCAGATGTGAAGCCCAAAGGAATTTCATTTGATCCAGGCCATTCCCCAGAGAAGCAGTGAAAATTTAGGTAAAAACCAAACCCCAAGTATTGTGTGAGATATTGAAATGCTGCTGCACAAAGACACTTTTTGGTACAATCATTTTGAGGAGCCATAAAGGGCCTTTGTAAGAAATCCAAACCAGAGGGATCAGAAGAGGGGAGCAAAGGGGTCCTAAACTGTTACAGGTAATTGCTGGGCACCTGCACATTCATATGAAAAATGTAACCTTAATTCCAGTGAAAGTTTTAGTTCTTTGACCCAAGGAAACTGAAAGCCTAGGAGCTTTCAGGATCCTTTTTTAGTCTTCCAGGCACACAGCTACAGGTTTATCAGTTCTTTGAACAGGCTGCTTCCTCACAGTGTCCTGCCTGGCCTGCATTTCCCTCTGGGAACAGGGGCTCCAATTCCCATGGTCCCCAAAAGAGTTTGGAATTAAGCTTCTCACCACCTCTGAAATTACCCCCACCAACTAAGAGCCAAGCATGTAAATGTCACAATTGCCAATCTCAGATTTAATGGAAAAACAAATGCAAACAAACAGTGGAATACAGATTAAAAAAGCATCGGGAGGCTTTTCATGGCAATTGTTAGTGTAGCAACTGCTCACCTGATACTGGAGGCAAAGTTATGTCTCAAACTGTGTTAAGAGATCTCGTATTTCTGGAGTCAGGTGCTTGACTGCCTTCGCAGCTTCCGTGATTGCTTTCCGGTACATGCCTTTCTTCTTGCGATTAAACCTCAGTTTGAAAAATTCCGAGAAAGGAGAGAGTTTTGAAACCGACAAGAACGAGGTCGTCGGAGAACCAAACCATGACACTTTAGCTTCTCGCCACGAAGGTTCCCCGTTTTCCTTCTGGCTGAGGTTTATGTCAAGAACACGTGCTGGCCACCATGGAAACCCGTGAATTTTACCCCAGACAATATCCCCCACTGAAACAGTCCTTCCATCTTCTGTAACGCATTTAGACACACTCTGGGTGTGCAGTCTGACTGTCAGCGGTGGCACAATTTTACGCTCATCTTTTGAAGATGAAGAGACGGAGGCATCATCACCAGGCAAAAAGTCACACAGTTCTGGTGATGTCACTTCTGAACTAGAAGACTTGGATTCATCTAGACTGTCATTGCTACACACCGATAAACTAGAAGAATCTGCTTTTCTTTTACGGTAATTCATGAGGAAAGCCAAGTTATCGTGTCCATCTTTACCCTGGGGAAACCTTTTGAAGTCATCATCTTCACCTGAACTGCCTGAAGATATCTCAGCCAAGCTTCTGTCGGCGGACTCATCATTGTAAAACACTCCGGGATTGGACTCCCCGCTGTTCTGGAGGACGTTGATTTCGTCAATCAGTTCTGCCTTATAAATTGAAACACTCTGACCATCGTTGATGCGATGGGGCTTCAGCCGTATCTTTGGGGGTGGGACATCCACACTGGAATGCACTGGCCGCGTGAGCTTCAGTTTTGGAATGGAAGCAAGCTGGCTGCCTGCTGACTTGTCCATTAAACATTTGGTTTCTCGACACCGTTCAGAGTCCCCGTTCTCCTCTTGGTCCCCGGCTCCGTTCTGCAGCACTCGTTCCGGACAGAACGGTTTGACTGAGCCATGAACCCGGGAAGGGATTTTCACCACTTCACCTTTCCCTTGTGGAGTACTGTAGGATATTTTTATAACTGGCGTTCGATGCACCAGCTCCCCAGAAAACTTGTCATCCTCCCTCTTCTCTCTTTTGTTCCTTTTCTCCACGTAGTCAGAGTCGCTGTGCTTTTTCTGCTCCTTGTCCTGAATGCTCAGCTTCCTCCTGGTCTTGGCGTTCTGCTGCGGCGCGCTGGCGTCCTCGGGGTTCAGCGTGTTCTTGCACTTCTCGCAGAGCACCTGCCTGGGCCGCAGCCTGATGGTGCTCATGATGAGCCTGCCCGGGTCCCTGTTGCGCGACAAACGCCTCCTTGTCCTCTTTATAGTCCGTGGCGGCGGCTGCGGGACCCACTGGTGGTAGGTGTGCCGCAGCCACAGCGGCCGGGGGAACGGGGCTCCCTCGAAGTAGGGAGGGAAGGGCGGCAGGCCGCCCGGCGCCGGCAGCAGCGGCGGCACCGGCTCCTCGGCGCTGCCCTTGGCGGGCCGCGGCTCCGGCTCGCCCTGCGCGGCAACCTCGCCGTCAGCAGCTCCGTTAGCGCGGGCGCCGGAGGGGGGGTCCTCGTGCCTGGGGAAGGAGGACGGCAGGCAGAACAATCCAGACCTAAATCGGGGCGAGAAGGACAGGGAGGGAAAGAAACGGAGTCAGGAGCTTTGAATGGTGCTGCTCTGGGAGCCCAAAAGATCCCGCCATCCCACAACCTCAGCACTGAGAACTCAACGCTTTCTCGTGACTTTTAAAATCACGCAGCCAATTCTGCCACTGAAAAAAATAACAGCAGTGCAGACATCTAGCAAGGTGCTCTACCCTTCTCCCAGAAAAGGCAGAGGGATCAAAACCTGTATTTCTATGAACTTTTACACAAAGTTCTGCTCGAAGAAGTTGTAAGTTTTATCCCACAAATCAGTTCACTGCATAGGCAGGCTGGCAAGGCCGGAGGAGGGATGTGATCCGGATTAGCCTAGAGAGCTATAAAACTGCCCTCTTCTCACTGTAGATGCAGGGCTGATTTTCCAGTTTTTCATTCTAAACCTGAACACCTTGACTTGGGTGGATTACTTGCACAGATTCACCGAGACACAGCTCTGCTCCTCTTCCCCAGTCTCTCCATATTCAGCTGTATTTGGTAAGGTAAGGTACCCACGACTCCTTCAGAACAGCAGGGTTAACAGTGATGATGCTCTGTCCTTCAATGCCAGGTCTCCTTACAGGCCACCAAGGCTTGGACACAGCACCTTGCCTGGATATTGGCAAAAGCAAATCCTCTGAAATTCTAAAACTCACAACCACAATTCATGTCTCTAAAATGTATTAATTTGTGCCCTTGGCCTGGCATTAGAAGTATTACACTAACAGTACTGGGACAGATTCTGCCCTGAAACACTGACTCTGACTGTACAAAGCCCCCTGCCTTGGCTTTGCAGAGACACTTCTGCAGCGAACACACCATCAGTGAAGCACATGGACCTTCTTAATAACAAAATATTACATAGGAGAGCCACAAAGAAGAGACAAAGCAATGGAGAACAGGTACAGACCAAACACCAGTGGGTTTTGGATGCTACAGTCCCATTCCCCTCCTTGCCAGCCATTGCTTTCTTTCCAACCACCAGAAGGAAGGACCCTTCCTGAGGCAAGGGAGGAGTGTCTTGGTGGTATCACAGAGGTGGACACTTCAGTAAGTGTTAGCAGAGACTACTGAGAGGAGCTGAAGGCATCCACTCTGCTCCACACCTCTCGCCAAAAGCACCACAAAGCCACTGCCATGGGTTTCCCGATGGAGAGAAGACTCCAAAATCCTTCCTCATTACTGAAAAAGTGCAACAACTTGCTGTTAAATGCCAGTTTAACTGGGAAAGGATTAAGCTGTTGAAATCACGTAATTTGGAACAAAATATTTTTGTTCCAAGAGGCTTTTTTTAAACAGAGACAACCAAGAATGTAGGTGTCTTGAAATGACAACCCAGAAAGCCAGTACAGTCTGTACAGCCAGACAGAGATGTCAGCACCATTCATAATACACAGTGAGACCATTTCTGAATGAGATGATGGCTATAAATTATGGTTATTTTATGCAATGAGATTGCATGACTTGGTCACAACAGAAAACTGCTCCTCATGTAGATACAAGCCCACTCCCCTGTTCAGGTCACTGAACCTGCCAGAGAGGCCCAGAGCTCCTCACCTGACAGAAGTGGAGCATCCAAATGTTCATTCACAGGATGGTTTGTACCTGTAGCACTGATGTACCAGCAACCTGTAACCCCACGGGGCTGGACACGGCCTCTGTGCCATCGAAGTGCCCACAGAGCCCAGACCACTGCCCTCCCCAGCTGTCAGCCTGTGCCAGGCACCAGCTCAGCAGGGAGGCCTCTCAGAAAGATGGGGAGAAACTTCTCAGCAGGGCTGCCAGGACAGGACAAGGGGTGATGGCTTCCCACGGCCAGAGGGCAGGGATGGATGGGATACTGTGAAGGAATTGCTCCTTTCAACAAGGGGGAGGGTGGGCAGCCCTGGCACAGGTGCCCAGAGCAGCTGGGGCTGCCCCTGGATCCCTGGCAGTGCCCAAGGCCAGGCTGGACACTGGGGCTGGAGCTCCTGAGGCAGTGGGAGGGGTCCCTGCCATGGCATGGGTAAAACAGGATGAGCTTTACGGTCCCTTTCAATCCAAGCCATTCTGGGATTCTGTGATTAAAGCAGCAGGAAATACTGCTGATGGGATTTCACCGTGCTTGTAATCCCCCTTTCTGGGGCAGCTGCAGCCAACTGGACTTGGTTACCTCAATCCAGTCTCTGCTTGGCATGGGAGATGCCATCCTCCTTTATTTGTACCCCTGCACAATTAAAACCCAACTTTTAATGAAAGCTCAATTGCAGTAAAACTATTAAATTTTGTTATCAGAAAACTGTAACAGCATTTAAATCTCTACTTGAGCATGTACACTATGGAGCTCAATTTGAGCAGAGCCAGTTTATTGTAAGCAAATAATTGCCAGTCACTGGGCAGGCCCTGGTGCTGCTGCATCATCCAGGCTGGGGCAGGAAGGGACACGCAGAGGAGGGACTCAAGCGCTTTTTTCTGCAAATAATTCCCCAGCAGCTGGAAGGTCAGGCATGAGTGTTCCCTACAACCCCCATTCCTAAAGACACGGGGGCAGGCAGGGCACAGGCAGGGCAGGGGACGGGGACAGGCATGAGCAGGGCACAGGCAGACAGAGCACAGGCAGGGCAAGGCACAGACAGGGCAGGGGATGGGGACAGGCAGGACACAGGCAGACAGGGCACAGGCAGGGCATGGTCACAGGCAGGCAGGGGATGGGGACAGGAAGAACATGAGCAGGGCACAGGCACAGACAAGGCACAGGCAGGGCATGGGGACAGGCAGGGCATGAGTAGGGCACAGGCAGACAGAGCACAAGCACAGGCAAGGGATGGGTACAGGCACAGACAGACAGGGCACAGGCAGTCCTGCTGCCCATCGCTGAGCCCTTGCAAACCCGGACGGGCAGTTCAGGGTTCTAACCTGCACCTGCCTTTGTGGCAAAACACCAGAGGCGTCCAGATGGGACCTGGATGGCCAGGGTGCCCTGGGTGCTCTGGTGGCAGGCCTTCCTCCTGCTCAGCTCCCCACAGCACTCACTACAGCTTAGGACAAGTAAACACGGCACTACAGATTGTCTGAGTTAGAAGGGACCTTAAAAATCATCCAGTTCCAATTCTCCTGCCCTGGGCTGGGGTCTCCTTCACTAGACAAACTGCTCCAAGCCCTGTCCAAGCTAACCTCGAACACTTTCAGAGATGGAGCAGCTACAACTAAGTAAAACACATCCATCTACTGTGTGATGCTGAAACCACTTTAAACCACAAAAGAAAGCTGAACAATCACCATACCGGCCTTCCTTCCTTTTTGAAGTAATCTCCTCTTTCTATGCAGGTCTAACAACCTGCTCTGGTGGCTCCTCTCCTGCCAGCCCCATCTCACTGCCCAGGGGGTACAGGCAGAGCATGAGGGACCCCTGCACAGGGACAAGCTGGTGGGACACGGCTCCATCAGCCAGGCAGCAGCAGGAGGAGAAACAGCTCTGCCACGCATCCACTGCAGGCACTCCAAGCTCAGCACCAAGTGGATAAATTCCTGCTGCCTTTGGGACACATCCTGACCTTCACCTTCCAGTCACTGCCGGGCCGACTCCCGTGCTCTGCTGTAGGACGAACAAGATCTCTCCTCTCTGCCACACCCCAGACCTGGGATGGCTGCAGTGCTTGCTCCAAGTCCCAGGGTCCTGCCTCACACACAGCCAGCGCTGTGCCACGCGGGCAGGATGCGGCCAGGGGACGGCCAAAGATCGAGCCCTGAGCAGCAGGGACAGCCCCAGTGCTCGGAGGGCACCCACTGCCCTCCCCAGCACACAGCAGTGTCACCACCGGCAGGGCTGCGGCAGCACCGGCCGGCACAGCTGCCTCACAGCCTGGGAAAAACGCCCAGGGTTCTTGGACCCACTAGGAGCACAGGGAGGAAACAAGAGGAAGAAAAATAATCGAGAAAGGTTAGGGTGAAGAAAAAACAGGTGAAAGAATTGTCACTGCAGAGGAAGACAATTGAAATGTGAGAAGGCAGAAAGCGGGTTTAGGGAGCTCGAGGGACACCAACCGCTCGTGCTGGGCCCAGGCTCCAGGGTGGGTTTATGGACTCTGCACAGCATTAGGTGCCCGAATGCCTTTGAAAATCTGACTCCAATTTTCCGTGATACCAGGTGAAACTAAATAAAGGACAAAAATGAAGCTCAGGACTCCTGCTCCATCTCGTAAGATGGATCAGAGGTGAGGATGCTGTGCTCCCACGCAGCACCAAACCTGCTTCTCACAGCAACACGGCCCAGCACCGCGTACAGCCCCGGAGAGCCAGCCGTGCTCCGGAGAGCCTGCCCTGTCCCGGAGAGCCTTACCGGCCGCGCAGAGCCGTGCCAGCCCCGCTGCGAGCTCAGCCGCCCCAGAGCCGGGGCAGGTGGGAGCACGAGGTCCCGCCGAGCGGAGCCGCAGCCCGCGGGCCCCGCAGAGCTCGGGCAGCGCCAGGGCCGGGGCGGCAGCGGCCACGCGGGACCCCCGGCAGCCCCGCCGGCACCGCCGCCCGGCCCCGGGGCCCTGCCGGGCACGCGGGGGGCTCGGCGGGGGAGAGAGGGCGGCGAGGGCAGCGGGCGGCCGGAAGGGCCGGGGTCCGGCCCCGGGGCCACGTGCGGGCCGCGGCCGGTCCGGCCGGCCCGGGGGCTCCGCTCCGCCCCCGCCCCCGCCGCTTTGTGCCCGGGCCGGTCCCGACCTCGCCGCTTTGTCCCGCCCGGCCGAACAAAGGGCGCGGGGGCGGCGCGGCCCCGCTCCCCGCCACCGTCCCGGTGCCCCCATCCCGGCCGCACCTCTTGGAGCAGTCCAGCAGCACGCCGGTGAAGCGGCGCTCCCCGCAGCTCAGCGTCACCACCAGCGTGTCGTTCACCATCTGCTCCACCAGCACCGGCACCCACGCGCCCACCCGCGGCGGCGGCGCCCCCGCCGCGTCCCCCGCCGCCGCCCCGGGCTCGGCCATGCTCCCGCCGGCGGCGCCGCTGGGCCGGGCCGGGCCGCGCCGTGACCTCACGGGGCGCCCGCCGCCGCCGGGCGTGACGTCACCGCCCCGCCCCGCCACCGGGCGTGACGTCACCGCCCCGCCCCGCCACCGGGCACGTGCGTGGGACGGGGCGGGGGCGCGACCGGGAGGGGCGGGGCCTGCCTGTGAAGGGCGGGGCCGGGCTGGGGGTGGCGCCGGCTCCTTGCGCCACCTGGCGGCCGAGCCGCGCACCGGCACCCGCGGGGCGGGATCATCGGGGCGGGGCCATCGGGGCGGGGCCATCGGGGCGGGGCCATCGGGGCGGGGCCATCGGGGCGGGGCCATCGGGGCGGGGCCATCGGGGCGGGGCCATCGGGGCGGGGCCATCGGGGCGGGGCCATCGGGGCGGGGCCATCGGGGCGGGGCCTCAGGCGAGCCCCGCCCCGCCCCGGCCGCCGCTCCCGGCTCCGGCTCCCTCAGGAGCGGCTCCGGCGGGAGCTGCTGAGCCTGCGGCGACTCTGGGATCCCCCGGCCCGGGCTCACCGGGAGCCGGGCACACCGGAACGGGTCCCGCAGGGCTCGGAACGGCTCTGCAGAGGGAGACCCCGGCCCCTCCCGGGCAGCTGCTCCAGGGCCCTGCCCCTCCATGCACACGAGTTCTTTTCTTCCTCTCGCTGGGCTGAACTCGCTGTGCCTCAGCTCTGCCCGTGCTCCTTTTCCTGGCCCTGGCACCGGCCCTGCCAGCCCTCGGGGAGATTTGCACGGCTCGGCGGGGTCCCCCCTCAGCCTTCCCTGCTGCAGCCTGAGCAGCCCAGCTGCCAGAGCCTCTCCTCAGCTCAGAGATGCTCCAGTCCCAGAAGGACTCTGTGGCCTCTCTCTCCAGTGGCTCCTTGGCTTTCTGGTCCTGAGGAGCCCAGAACTGGGCACGGCACTTGGGATGTGCCTCACTAGGGTTGGGCAGAAGGGGCAGGATCACTGCCTGACCTGCTGGCTATGCCCTTCCCCATGCAAATACTGATCCAAATGCATCCCAATGCAAATAACTACAAATAACATGTTTATTTTTACCAGTGCTTTCTGGAAAGAGCCTGTGGTTTCCCAAAGTGCTGACAGACTGAAGCAGGCCTGATGCAATGGAATCCACACAGTGTCTCTGCTGTGACTGAAGCTGAATTCTCCGTGTGCTCAAAGGGCTGAGCCCCAGCTGTGTCAAGCAGAGACTTGCCAGAAAGGCTGATAAACGACTGCTCCCATGAGCAGCACTGTGCTTCCTTGCTCCTATTAATCCGAGCAGCAAAACAGCAACAAAAAAATCTCAACTTAGCTGGTGCTTGGTATCATTTTTGTGGAATTCTGTTTCAATTGCCATATTGAGAGGGGTCAGCAAGCCAAAACTCTGGGGCTGCCTTGGGAAGATATTGAGGGTAGGAGCAGGCACACAGGGAAGTTCTGATGTCCCCAAGGACAGAGAAATCAGAACTCATTTTCAGAAGGAAAAGGACACTTTGAAGCATCCTTTGGGCTGGCGATGGCATTCAGGAAGGTCAGCTGGTGTCCCTGCAGAGCTGCTGGCACAGCCCAAATCCAGTAACTCTGGTGCCCCTGGGGCAGCTGGGCCATCTTGGAACACCCAGAATAAATCTGCCCAGCCACAGCAGGGACACAGCTGACAGACACACCCACACCTCACACATCCAAAGGAGGCCTTTCCTGAGCGAATCCAGCCGGCTTTGATGACACGTCCCTTTTCACTTCCCCCTCCTTCTCTCACCATTCCCCTGTGCTGTTTGAAATGCTGCTCTGGTGTATTTTCTCTGACAGACCTAAGTAAACATGGTAAAGTTATAATTTCTGTTGCTCTGCCTAATATACTAACTTTGTGTGAACATCAGGCATGTCTGGCCACAGCCATGGGGTCTGGAACCACCTCTCATTATGAGATAGTTTAATGTTGTGTATTTTCCCTTAAAGCTGATGAAAATTCCCCTCTATTTACAGGCACTTGTTCAATAGTCTTGTCCTGAGAGGATCAGCTGGAGCATACCTCCACAGTTAGTCAAGACAGAGCCTCAAATACAGATACACTAATTTTTAGAAGTGCAAAATAGAGCAAACCAACACATCTTGTCTTCAGGAAACCCAGCAGACCATCTCCAGCTTTCTCTGTGCACATCTGGGTTACAGAGGGGCTGGTGCTGTGTCCTCTCCACCCTGGGAAGGCAGCAGGGCCCTGCCTGCCCCAGGGTCCCCAGCAGAGGTTCTGAGCCCTGGCTGTGGGATCAGAGGACACTCGGCTATTCCTGGGCACAGCTCTGCTGGGAAACACCGCTGGGTGCTGACTCAGGAGCTTGTGGGGTCACGGGTGGCAGTGCCAAGGCAAAGCCCCACCTCCACACTCGCATTCCCAGTCTTCTGCTCTTTGGCAATCTGCTGCCAGGCTAGGCCCTTCCCTCAGCAGTTTCCAAATAAAGCAACAACAAAAAAAAAAAATTGCCTTTGTTCTGCCTGGTTGAATGCCTTTAAACCTCAACAATATTTTGCAAAGCAAATGATTTCCTAGACAAATGACCTTACCCATGCTTCAGGTTAATAAATCCCAAGCTTTTTCACCGAGAGGAATTATTGTTGTAGATTTGAATCATTTCATAGGCACTTCATTCCTGGCTGTGCCAAGCTCCCCTCTGTGCTGCTTTCGGGACACCTGCCAAGTCTATTTTAGCTGCAGTGCCTGTGTTGCTGCAGCCACTCAGCTCCCCGAGCGAGAATCCATGGAACAAACCCATTTCCAGAGCTCTGCCTCATGGCACTGTCCCCAGGTGGGGACAGAGCAGGGCGGCTGGGGCTCATGTCCCCCTGACACCATGGGGAAAGCCAGTTCTGGCTTTGTGTCCTGCCTTCAGCACAGAAACACATTCTAAACCCAACACAATCCCTTCATTTTTCCAAAATATGTTCTAAGTTGAATTAAGTAAGAGCGGCTGCCTTGTGCTTTTTTTTTCTTTCTGCTGTTCCAAAAACTATTTCAAACCTGAAATTTTTGGGTTTAAAGGAATATTCTCTGTCATGCCCGAGGAGTATGAAAACTGCTTCTAACACATTATAAGAGAACAAAGACTTACACTTAGCATGAGGGCAAAAATGAAACATAATCAAAGTATGAGAATTCTCTGCAAAGTCCTCATGAATGTCATTGTCAGGCATTAAAGAGCCCTAACCCAGGTGTGCGAGGGGACAGCGCCTGTCTGGCTGTGTGTCCAGGCCAGCAGCCTTTCCCAGCAGCCTGTCCCAGTGCCCCCAGT